GGCTGTTTTATGTTATGTTTAATTTTGTTTATTTCTTGGAAGTCTCCACAAAAAAGTGTTAACAAACCCTCTGTTGTGTAAATATAGCAGAGCACATGATTTTCCTGGGTTAGTAAATGGCTCCGCATGCAAAACACAGGTTCACCTTTTGCAGCGACGGGTTAAAAAATGGGAAATGTAATTTAAAATTTGACGGTGGATAATCACAGAGATGGTGCGTTTACTTGTCGGCAGTCGGTCAGGTTGCGGCAAATGTTGGCTATTCTTGGGCCTTGGCGTGTAACCCACTGCTCCAAATTCAGTCATGTAATCATGGTGTGACACACTGACCGCGCCTTTGAAGGGCTGAAGTGAAAGTGGCGGTGTTGTATCTCCTGGTGATATTGCAGCAGCTGTCTCCAGATGGAACAAGGTGATCACAGAGCTCCAGCGTGGGAGCACTTCAGTCACCTTGTTCAGTCTGTGTACAGGAATGAGTACGTGAGTACACTAGTGGGAGTTTCACAGTCTGTAGTGATGCTCTTTATAAACATCTGTATACATATGATGGAGATGATTTAAAAACTCACTCACAGGCTATTGCACTGCATTCCAGTTTCACAGTTTGAATCAACAGAAAGGCTTTGAGTGGCTAGAAATGACTACTTCTACACAGATTGCATTCTGTAGATTTGTAGTACTGTTTCAGACGTGCAGCAATAAATACTTTTTTGGAAATGATTTAGCAATGAGGGTATATGTTATATGTTGTATATCTCTTCAGTGACAAATTGCTTAATCGGTCTAGTAATATTTTCAGTGGCAGTGATGTTGGACACCACGTATTAGTTTCCTGCAGATGTATTTATCTACTCAACCTCAGAATATCTGATTATATTAACTTAACACTATTTTGCACCCCGTTTCAGCCATATTGGAAGTCAGCTCTTGGATGTGTAGCAGCTTTTGAATGTGTACTGAATCTGAAGATATGATTATCTCAGCAGAAAAGGCACAATTAAGATCTACTGCATGTGAGTGACTGCATAGTGATGATTTTAGCAATGCATTGGTACTTTGTTGTCTCATTCTCAGCTAGCTAGCGCAGCCATGAAGCCATCACTTCGATGGATGCGTTACGATCATTGATCACCATGTTCTAAGATGAACCCTGCTCACGAAAGTTGTGTGCCAGGTGCATAAGTTGGAAAAGTAGGACCAAGGTCTTATTAGCTCAAGTTGTTTGGGCTAATGAGGCTCATGTGACCTACTGTATAAGATTCCTCATTTACTGACTTATCAGTACTGTCTTCAAATACAAGTGAAAATTGCTCTCCACTGGAAAAAATAGATTCAGAATCAGAGTCAGTTAAAGAATGCCTTGGTTCAAACCCATCAATGCTGACAGTCTCATCCCAGTTATCAGGAATGAAGTTAGTTGATGACTCTGATGCTGGACTCAAATTTGGTAGATCATTGAAGTGAAGATCACTCTCTGTGGAAGATTCATCCTCAAACAAGAGTGGAGATGTGGGATATCTGCGTGTAAATTTACCACAGTCTGCATGAAGGCTCTGTAACAGAAAAAAGAAAAAGTAAATTCTGATCAGAAGAATTAATAATAATAATAATAATGGAGACAGGGAAGTCTGGGCATCTTTGCTTAGACTGCTGCTCCCGTGACCCGGTCCCGGATAAGCGGAGGAAAATGGATGGATGGATGGAAGGACATTGTCCTGCAGCCAAGTACTGTTCTGAGGAACTTGATCCCTGCACACTAGCACTAACATTAGTAGGACCACCCTTAGTGCTAGCTAACTGATGGCTCCCAGAAGTGAAACCACCAAGTCGATCACCCCCTGGTTATAGGTAGTGAATGTGACATGAGCCAAACTCAAAGTTCTGATAGGTTTGTTTTTAATGAGTTGTCTCATTATATAAAAAGGGTTGCATTTGGGGGTGTATGTTGGGTTATCTGACCGCTCTCATACAAAGAGAAAAGCGATGCTTTGTGCCAGATTTAGCTACTTTATCTGGGTTTTCTGGGTTAGTCTACGGCAATTCACCATCACTGGTGTAGCTTACTGACTGCAAAAAGCAGTTTCACATAACAGCATATATTAATCTTAACAGTGGAGTTTCCATACTGACCTTTTCTCAATATCATATTTGGATAAATATTGATCAGAGTGTGAATCAGCATTAATACTGTGAACCACTAATTGGAAAGAATTAACCATTTATCTGTATGAGTCATTTGACCAGATCTCAGAAAATAAGCTGTTAAGTCCCTGAATATATGCCAAAATGTGGTGAACAGTGGATGCACAGCAGCTACCTCCATACTGGGTTTTTTTTCATACACAGCAGCTCACTTGTAAGCAGTCTGCTCATGTCCAGAAACTTAGGGTCATGTTCAGATCCTTGTGGTCATATGGACAAGGAAAGTATAATTTGGGCTCCCAGCTGAAAAACTAACAAACATGTCATTTTGCCTGCATAACTTTCTTAGGCTAAGATACAAGAGAATGTTTCATTCAGTCTGAAAAAAAAAGGTTTGAACATTAACTGAGTCAATGCATAATGAACTGCACTACATGAATGGTACAGATGAAGTTAACATTGCCAAGAAGTGTGTCCTTCATGAACTAATCATGAATGAAGTCTGGGAATTTGTGAATTTGCTGCAGATGTGGCTGGTTGTGGCAACTCGACAACGCTGCCAGGGAGCCTAGAAATCAATGAAATCATTTTCATAGTTGGCAGATTAACTGGCTTTGTCCTGACGGATTGCTTGTGACCAATATCAGAAAATAGGAGGGGCAGCGTGAGGTGCAGTGGTTGCAGTCAGTTTAGCCTCAAATTTGAGGAAACCATTAACCCTATAAAACCATTTGTATCATATTTGATACGTGAGGTTTCTGAGCAAAAAAAAATCACCAAAAATGCCCCATGTATCAAATGTGATACAAAAGAAATATAAATAATATGACACCTCTATGCCTGGACTGTCTGTCTATGCATATATGGCAAATAAAAATAGTGAATCTTGAATTTTGAATCATGAATTATATTTTGGATTTTGTTAATAAAAGGTTTAATAAACATCTCTGTTCCAAAAAATTAGAATGTTCTGGCTATTTTTTGATGTGTCAGGCTTTATAGGGTTAAAGACCGCCTCCTTTCTAAATCTGAATCACTGTTTAAGTAAACTTTTTGCAGAACTTGAAGTCTCCATGGCCTGCTTTGTGTTTATAAGGATTGTCAGAATCCGAATCTGCTTTATTGGCCAGGTGTGTCGGACACATGAGGAATTTGACTCTGGTAGGAGCCAACAATCCACAGACACTGAAGCAGTTATTCCTTTAGGTCCCGTTTCACTTGTTTGCACAGTAATTTCTCCACAGGGGTGATGGCAGATTTTGACCTTGGCCTTCATAAAATTCATTCTTACTGATTAACCTCATAATGCAGCCTGGAGAGTTGGTCTCAGGCTAAAAACAAGATGCGTTCACTAGCCCCTAACCCCAACGTCAACCAACACAACTAAATGCTTAACCTTCAAAAATCCTTTTGAAGTAAGTGGTGTCAGTTCCTGTACAATTGCCAGAAAAAGGCTTGCACACATGACACAACACACTCACACCCACCTATGCCATCCCTGTACCGTCAAGGCTCCCCTCATTTACAGTAAATGTGTGTTTTTTGTCATCTGTGGGTCTAGATGAAGTGATGCAGTTAGTTTTGGTATCATGTCCATGGCCATGCATCTCCACTGCCGAGAGAGACCGAGAGCACTGCAGCGTGGGAGGGCTGTGACAGAGATGACTCAGCTCTCTGTTGCCGGGTA